TGCTAATATTGATATTACAAATATATATAAATATGTATTATGCATTTATGTGTGAATATATAACTATATAACTGTACAAACGGAACTGTTATTTCGTTCCCCACTTATACAACAATAAGTGATCATTTTGTCATGGTCATTAACCGTAAATTAATTGATTAACTGTGTATAAAACATATCGTCAGCACAATAAGAATATTTAATGAAATAAATTTGAACGAAAACGATAATTTGCCAACTTTTCAGATTTCAAATGAGTAATGATTACAAAATGTATAATGCATATTATTGAACATTAATCTTTTTACGAAAATAAGGTAATTTAGATTAGAAAATTCAAAAAAAAAAACATTGGACCCTTTTACATCATGTAAGCATAATTTCAATAATTTGTCCGAACGTAAAAAAATAAAATTGAATCAAAGAAGACTTTCATTTAATGTCAAGGTTACATACGATATTGACGATATGATCACTTTAATTCAGCTTACACAAAAAGTGGCAATTATAGCCTGGACGTATTGTAGTCCAAAGTAGAATGAAAATGATAAATTACCTCATGAATCTTATTTGCACCAATATGTTCAATTACCCTTTCATAAATCGAATGCACAGATCTGAGAATACGAGACAGATAAAGATATTCTAGTCCTATAATTAACCTTTTCATGTACTGCTTAGCAAATTCTCGAGAAGTTTTCTTTTCTTTTATATTTACTTAATTATTTTTCTGGAGAATTTTATAGTAATCTGAAAAGGTACGCTGTTATACTACATATAGCAATAAAATATATTAAGCGAATTTTTCATTGAAAGTTCGTCTCAGTACTGCAACGCACTGTTTCGATTTGTTTCATCTATCAATGTTTTAACGATCGACGTGTATAAAATCGATTCGAAATTCAAGACATACAATTGCAACCCATATTTATGAAGGATAAAGACATTACGACAACAAATAGCACACAGCTAGCGCAAATCAGAGCTCTCGTAATCAATATAAAAGAATTTTACATGAAGCCTGATAGTAGTAGGATTCAATTTTAATAAATTCATAATTCATAATGATATATGTGTTGCCATAGATCATATTGTGTTTAAAGTATATGTAACACGTAAATCACTTGATGACATGTCCTATTTTTCGTCTCTTTATCAGCTTTCTTGATTTATCACAGCTGGGGCAACAGTAACAAGATAAAAAACTTGTTGTACATCCCCGAAACACAAAATTGGTACAGTCCTCTATTCCACGTAATCCCACCAATCCTTTTCATATCCTTCGTGTACATGTTCTAAAAGCACTTTCCTCCGACTATCGCAGTATCTTAAAAAATTAATAATAGCAATATATTTTTCTTGCTTTTATCATGATATATAAACTATTCGACATATTATTTCTCGAGCAGCTTACCTATATTTATCTTGAACTTTTTGCTTAATATCAGCAAGGTTTTCGCTTGTAATATCTCTTTCAAGATATTCTGAGAGACGTTCTGTCGTTCCCTCTAGATCTTTTTGGTTGTCTTCAAAAATCACAGATTGGTTATTTTTTTTCAAATAGTAAGCAAAAACGTAAGTATACATAAGAGTCTGTCTACAGGAACACAAAATATCTACGGCTTTTTTCAAAAATTGTACCTAAAAATTTTAATATAAAATTTAATGTAATTGATAAGCGTGCATGGCATGAGTTCCTTTCACTTAATTGTATTTAGTTCTACCTCAATCCAGGACATATTATGCTGCTGCATTTCTTCCATTTTTTCTTTTACGCTTGCATAAAGTTTACTTTCAAATTTCAATGACTGCATGTGATTCATATATCTATTACAATAAAATAAGTATCTTTGCAGTGCAGATCTTTTCTTCTCTTGAGCATCTCTAGCAGCTTTGGCCTCCTCTTCATCGTAGCGATTACAATTATACCAACTAGAACCATGTGGCTCCCAAGGTCCAAGACACACCCAACAAAAATCAGTTTTGCAATTCTGATTTTTGCACACCATATGATTACAACCACCATCCTTCTCAATCGTGACGTTACACTTCGGACACTCTTTTGTATTTGCAGCTATCCAATTTGATGTTTCCGAGTCGTCATCGCATTTCTTTATCCATTTACGTAGTAAATGACATTTTACTGGGTCATGCCAATTTTCACCACAATGGAAACAGAATGTATGTCCGCATTTACAAGTTACAGGTCTGGCTTCAATGTACTGTACTTTTATAGCGTTATTACAGTCTGGAGATGGACACCACCTTAGTAGCCTATTACACTAAAAAATCAAACATCAATAACGTATATTAAGAGTACTATTTTCCATAAATTAGAACAATAAAATACATGCAATAAAATGATAGTTACTTCAACGAAACTATTAGTTATTAAATGCTGATATTTCAGCTTGACTTTAGAGTCTTTGACAAGACGCATAACACTGGCATCGTCAACTAAAATGTCACACGCGTGTGCTGCACACGCGATTGTTTGACCAACTCCTTCCTCCATAATCTTGGTTGTGAGGTATTCTCCCCAGCAACCAGTACAAAAGCGATGACCACATTCAAGTCCGGTCATCATCTAATAAAAATTTAAGAAAGGTATTATATTTTGAATATAATTTATGCTTGTCAATAAAATAATTATGTTATTATTCGATAATTTTATATTGCACATACTGCAGATGGTTGAACCATAAAACAAATTCCACATTCCTCTGTACCATTTGTCATCATTTTTGTTGACTAAAAATAAAAGTAATAAATACATAACGTGATGTTTATCTTCGACGTACACAAAAGAGAAAAATGCTGATACTTACCAAAGCGCTCTGGGAAGATTGACTTCTATTTATTAATGGACCCTTTCTAAATGGATTAATAACGCGTGCTTCTGTGAATAATTTCTCTTGATCTCCGTCATAAAATCGTTCCATTAATTTCTCTTTATCCCATTTGAAATGATTTAACAAAATACGTGTCGTTGTTGCTGGTATCTGCAATCAAAATTGTGTAGTCCTCCCATTGTATTTACTTTACTATTGATATATATGTATATATTATAAGCAATGATGATTTATTTCGTAATATACTTCTACAACTGTGTTGACTTCTTTTATAGAATCAATCATATGTTGTACTATCTCTTCTGTTGATAAAACTTCAAATGGATAATCATCAACATCTGTAGTTCGTTCTCTTGGATTTTCTGCTTCAATTTCCATAGCAAAATCCACATCGTCACCACTGGACTCATTGCCAGAGTCCACATCATCGTACATTTCCTCTTCAGAATCCATTTTGTTATCGATTTACTAAGCGATCAAGATTCCAACGAATACTTTTATTTTATGTAATTCGCACCTGCACATAAAGCCATGCAAATCATACAATTTTGGCAATTCTGACACTATATTTTCTTATTCTATGCACTTTACTCCATTCATTCAATAACATAGTAAGATTGTAAACAAGCGTGTATTATGGTAAAAAGAAAACAGTACAGATTTACATTCAGATTTACAGATTATCATGTAGCAATCGGAGCCAGTAAAAATATTATCGCGAACGCAAGTATCGTTTTGTTGCTTTAGGAATAAGCGCGCACAAAATTAATAAATCACAAGAAAATGTATCACACCTGTACACGCGAAATATTGTTGTGGCGGAACAAGGTGAAAACAGCTTATGTTTCAGCACATGACGTCATCGTTAGATACTTCCCGAATAAAGCCAGACGCTTTATTGTCAGTTTCCCTTTAGTTTCTGCCGACAATATCGCGAGAAATCTACGGTCACTACACTTTGTAAATCTTCCACTAACATGGACGGTAAAAAAATTTTTCCAATAATCTTACAATGCTCGTAAGCAAGAATAAAATCAGCTGCCAAAACATCAGAGTTGAACTCCGGTAGCTGATATACCTAATGCTACTGCCACGGGGGGAGCGATGAATGGGCTACCGTGGCGCCAGCCAATCTGTGTACAATATTTCTTCACTATAAGCTCGAAATTACTATAACTTTCAAACGAAAGAATCCTCGAAACTCTATTTTTTGAAAATAAGAAACAAGGAACACGGAGCTAAAATGTAAATGAGAATAATGACTATTTTTTAGGATTCCATATAAATAGGATAAATCACTAACTTATAATATGGAAGGTAAGCCAAACTTATAGCGGGGGAATTCCATCCTATATAATGGCGTCTCGTGTTTATGGAACTAAGATTTCTTGATTTTTGTTAGACCTATCTTTGAAAATAGTCTAACATCGCAAACAATATTTTCAATCAAACCAATAAAAACTAACAAAAATAAATTCTTTATACGCGTTATGCATTGTAAAAAATCTTATAGGTATATATACAGTTAAACAGGGCAAATGTATATACATATAGCATGTGTGCGCGCTCGCGTCTGTGTGCGTGCGTGTGTGCTGTATATTTGTATTATGTATAGGAATGTATGAACGTACGTATATAGATACGTGTACGATTATAATTAAATATACACCTACATTTGTACAAATAGTAAAGAGTAAAGAAATTAAAACGGAAAATTTATTGTTACTTGATAGCGAGCAAAGTTCGAAATTTCTTTCAAGTAAACAGATCTGTGAAAACGTACATCACTCTGTAATCGTCAAATCTGGAAAATATTCCGAAAATTGAGAAACGAAAAATAACCGAAGTAAATTTTGTTCCATTGATTTCTGAGAATATGACTTTTCGACGGAAATTGACCATTTTTTCGATAAATACGAAAAACACTAAATACACTTAACGCGATATCTTGGCATATAATTGATGAGAAAGTTTCAAAAATTGACAAGATGTATTACCATGCGCGATACTGTTTTCAGCCATTGCACCCAATCAAGTTATCAAATTAGCAGGCTAATCAGATAAAACCATAAATTAATCTAAAATGCACTGTTTGCCATGAGAAAGAATGGACGAGCTTATAGCTCGAACACTACAGTCACGTCCACTACCATAACTTCTCCTCGATTAACTTGAAAAATGTTACGTTTTTTCACTGGTCGAAGCCACGGCTAACTGATGAGTGAACAGGAACAAACACAAAATTTCGCGTGATATTAGCCAGGAAATTGAGAATCAAGTAATAATGACAGGACAACGAAACGTCTCGTCACCAAGTGGCGTTTCACTAACTCGAGTCAACTACTTGAAGTTTGCTTCGTCGCGGCGCACAGCTGACGCACATAGGCGTCTACACGGGGGGCACAATTTTAACGTAACTGTTCAAATACAGACTATTGTATCGTTTCTAGTGCTTCGTATCGAAGTTTATAGAAATATCCGACATAAACTGCTCTGAGGATTGAATGAGAAGTTCGCAAGTGTCACGTACAACGTTAAAAATAATAAGGAAATTCTATTACCAGAAAGTGAATTGTGTTTGGTGAAGTGATATTTATTTTAATAGACGACACAAATTACCAGCGATGAATCTGCATTGTACGATCAAATTTGAAATAAGTGTAAACCAGCAAAGGGATTCAATTTGTGTTTTATGCGACGGTAATGTACGCACATAAATGCATAGGGTTATTTATATGATTCGGAGCAATCTGTTTATATAGGGGTTTTAAGTAGTTACGCCAATGGGTGTACGAACGATGAACGGAGAAGCTCGCCTCGCAACGTTCAGTAAAGTGAACTTAACCCTATCGTAACGTAATATTCGGAATAGACATCGATGTGAATCCCTTAGTTCTCGGGCGAGATGAGTTTGCCCAGCGTGAGTGATTATTCTTTATTAGAAAAACTCGGTTCAGGGAGTTATGCGACCGTCTACAAAGCTATTAAAAAGGTATGTACACTTTGATGTCCGAACGAAGAAGCAATCGAAACATTCGAAACATATGATGGCAGTGACGGAACAAATTGGGCGGGAACCACAATCTTATTTTTTGAATCGTTTTCTTCTTTTTTTTTCATTTGGATGCATCAAGTAGAATTTAACCTAACCTAATTTAACATTAAATAAATATATGTATAGATATATTATGAGCTCGTTTTTGGCTTATTAGTATGTCAGTGAAAGAAGAAAATTGTACAAAATTTTGACGTTAATTGTAAGCGACAAAGCATCGAACTATCAAATAGTGATTTATATTTGTTATGTTTTTATTACATAGCAAGACACCGCAATGCAGTACAGGTTACTCGGCGTCAAACGTATCTCGTTTACGATCTAATTAATTAAAGATATTATTACACAATTTAATTAGTTAATAATACTATTCACATTGACGTCGATATAAATTTGACAGTTTCCAGTTATTCGACCAGCAGGATAATTAAATGTAGGTTTGAATGTAACGAGAGATCATTATCGGTACTTTGACCACAGTATCCGCGGTATAATTAAATTCTCGCCGTCAAGAACCGGAAACGTAATTTTCGAGAACACGAATACTTTGCCTCCTTTCATTGTAGACATTAAAATTGTTCGATCTTCAACGGTAGATTGAAACGAACGTAATTTTACAAAGTGGGCAAGAATTATCGCGATCAAAACAAACATTATGCCAACGAATCACAAGTTTTTCAATTACATGTTTCGATCGTTCACATGCTTTATTTATAAAATCGTTAACGTTACATTCGACCGCCTGCAATTGTTGATTATGAAACTATTCGAAAATCACGCGTTGATCGCCATTGAAATAAATTCTACTTATAAAGCCGCGCTTCGTTTTACATAAATTTATATCCCGGACTTTAAACTGATTATACTTGCAGTAATTATCATTGCCCGATGAAACAAAGCTGATAACATTCTACAGACAAATCTCGTGCTATTCTTATCGAGATCACGATCGATTGCTAAATTCGCTCGCGTTTAAAATCTAATTTCCAAAAGCCTTGGAAACAGCCTGAGAGAGAGAGACTCACTCTTGGGTAGCGTTCGCAACCGCTTAGAGGTGTCACGGGGTCACCGCTACCTAGACGCGATATTACTGAACAAAGTTTCCACGAATACACTAACCTTTGCGCTACTTTTTATTTTCTGTCGTAACGCGGTGCAGAAAATATCGGCGTTTGTTCCCGCGTGTCGCGGACTCCGGTGCGACACGTTTTAATGTATTCCAATCGGAGTGGTCTCTGTCGGTCGAGCGGCTGCGTCGGTTTGAGAGGCGGCCAGTAAAGATGGTTGCATCGAAGCTTGAAAGAAGTAAGTTATCCCAAGGCGATATAACGTAATCCTATTGTTGGTCGTTTGTAGGATGGATGCCGCGATGTAGTCGCAATCAAATGTGTAGACAAATCGTCACTGTCCAAGTCGGCTGTCGATAATCTCGTCACGGAGATCAATCTTCTGAAAATCCTCAAGCACGAGCATATCGTGGAGATGAGGGACTTTTTCTGGGACGACGGGTTAGTAGAGCCCCCAAAAACCACCTCCCAGCCTGATAGACCTGAAACAAGCAATTCCCCTGTAATGCCGGATCAAATGTATCGTGCGCAGAGTCAGTTCACAATTTCGCCCGTCGTTGTATTATTATATTCAGCCATGTTCGAGTCAAAAAACGAAATCAGGCCTAGCATAGTTGATCGTCCACAGCCTGTACGTAAAGACAACACACCTATCACCTAGCGTAACTTAGGCATATATACATCGTGATGGAGTACTGCGACGCCGGCGACTTGTCGAGTTTTATAAGGAAGAGGCACAAGCTAGCCGAACGAAATTGCCGGGGCTTTTTGCAACAGCTCGCGCTGGCGCTGAGGTACCTGCGCGATCACAACGTCTCCCACATGGACCTGAAGCCGCAGAACCTACTGTTGACGAGGCGGCCGCATTTGGTGTTAAAAGTCGGAGGTTCGTTCGCGCGCCCGAAACGATCTTTTCTCAGCCACGCCGAGCCCCGTCGCCATTTCGGCTATTTTTATATATTTCAGACTTCGGTTTCGCTCAATACCTCTCCAATTCCGAGCAAAAGTTCGCCATCCGGGGCTCTCCCCTCTATATGGCGCCGGAAATATTATTGAAACGGAAGTACGACGCCCGCGTCGATCTCTGGAGCGTCGGCGTGATCATGTACGAGTGCCTTTTCGGCAGGGCACCCTACTCGAGCACCAGTGTCCAGGAACTGAGCGAGAAAATCAAGGACACTCGACCTATAGAGGTGATTACGATGTGATATCGATTCTCCTTCGTCGGACCAAAAACAAAATACATATTCCTCGGTGTACCGACACACGCGCGATTCGCACACATGTTAACCGTGTTGTAGTATCGTGTCTTTGTAGTTGACTATAGTCCATCGCGTACGTACAGGGTGTTTCGACGTTACTACTTTGCTACATTCATTGGAATACGGGCCACGTATACTCCGTACACTCGCCTCGGGCTGGCTATGTTTCATTGAACTTTCATTGCGTATTTGGATGTTAGTCGTTTCTGTTCTTTTTTTTTTTGAGAAGACTGGTTCTGTATGGAATGTATGAAAATTTGATGCGCGGCTCGATCAACTTTTCTTGTCGAATATGGAACTCGAGGAAGAGAAATCCTGTGCCCGGTAACCACGAATTCTCGCTGTGAGCTATGTCGCGGTCACCGTGAAAAAAAATGTTACAATTGAAATCGCATCTTCTTTCGTAACATTTTCATTTACCTTTACGGATGTTTTCGCGTGAAAATTGAATAATGCTTGTAAATTGTAAGATTAATCAGAGGACGCGAGAGCAAGTACGATTTATTTATTATCGGGTTTTAAGACATTCGCTATAAATTAACTATTACAAACAAACGTCGATGAATTATTTATTGCTTGCATATTATACGCATGTAAATTAGGTATCTTTTTAATTTGAATACGGTATGCATTTTTGTCTTATATTATTAATTTCTGGGTACTTTATAATTTCAACTCATTAACGACACGTTCCAGGAACGATGACATCCGTTCAATTACACGTCTGTAATATATTTGAAAATTTCTGGTCATAAAACGTAGTGACACAATTTAACCGCTCAACTTGGAAACACCCTGTCTAAATATAGAAATGTACATACGCAAAGCCAGTTGCGTAATTAACTATAATTATAACTTATACGCAACATATATTTGTGGTTGTGTATGTGTATTTAAAGTTTTATGTATATATATATACATAAAACTAACTAAATATATATATAATTGTAATAAGCATATATATATATATATATATAATTCTAATAAGCATTTATCGCACGTAAATGATTTATGCATGTAGTAAATATGTATAGTATACGAACAGGGTGGAATATCTTAACTTTTTAATACGTGAAGTAATTAACGTTCCAACTACCTCATCGATTTTATAGTAATTAAATAAAGTAATTTGTCGATGAATAAGTGCATTGGATTATAGGTTCGGGCTGGTCTCAAGAAATGCATTTTTATAACTTTTAGAATATATATTGAATATATATATATATTTTTATATTCAATAATATAATATTTCCGATTTTATAGTAATTAAACAAAGTAATTTGTTGATGAATAAGTGCATTGGATTATAGGTTCGGGCTGGTCTCAAGAAATGCATTTTTATAACTTTCAGAATATATATTGAATATAAAAAAAATATACTATATATATATATATATATATGTATATATATATTATATTGAATATAAAAATATTGGAAACATTTAGACGTCCCACCTTGTACTTATAAATTGCAAGTGAACAAATTAAGATTCAAGAACGAGAACGTTCATGCGCCATACATTCGGGCTCGTCCGTTAATAATGATGTGTTGTGGGTTAGTTACCGAAAGGATGCCAGGTGACACGCGAGTGCAAGGACTTATTGCTGTCCTTGTTGAAGCACGATCCTGACGTGAGGATAACATTCGACGATTTCTTCGCTCACGAATTTTTGGATCTGGCACACGCGCCGACAAAGGAGAATTACGAGAAGGCGGTAGAATTGGTCCAGCAAGCGGTGAAAATGGACACGGAGAAGAACCCGAAGGAGGCGTTTTATCTTTACTGCGAGGCGCTTCGATACTTCATTCCTGTTTTAACAAGTAAGAAGACGTGTGATCGATTTCGGTATAAATAAAATGGACGCGGTCGTAAACAGATCGGCATGGTGGACCAAACGATTTAAAAATACACGGCATTTTATTAGATGAGACTGAACTAAAACGGAAAGAGATTTTAAGGTCGCACGTAAATAATTACATTAAGAGGGCTGAAACACTGAAAGCCTCCTGTATAGAGGTTGCCGACGAAAAGGATAAACGGAACCCCACGATGATCCCGAGGGTGGCGGCCTTGAGCGAAGGATCATCGTTAGCGTATCCCGAACTATGTTTGTATCGAACTTTTTTTTACTAATCCTTTTATTCAAACTCTCGATATTTGATCATGCGGCGAAAGTGCATGAAACAATATTTCTTCTTCCCCGTCACGCTGCGCAACTAATGGAGCACGTAATTCTCCAACGAACTTTTAAATTCTTTCAAAATTAATAACAACTCTGATAAGATAGTCACGTGGCGTTCTACGTGATTCCTAATCAGGAGTAAGAAAGTTTTAAACGCGTTCAACTTTTTCACGTCGTTTGTTACCGTATCACGAGGACGGCGCAGTGTTTCGATGGAATTTCAATAGAAGTAGAATTCTGTGCAAAGTACGAAATCCGCTGGAATAGAACGGAGTCTTTGCTCGGTCATACTCGGCGGCAAAAACGAACATCGCTCCGCGACGGGGCTTGCCATCGAAAAACAGGTCGTAATTGATAAAACCGACTTGTTCGGCGTTCTATCGATACATTGTTCGGTAAGAAGAAATATTACTTTATGCTTGTGTGTAGCCGAAGTTACAATATGAATCGCAGCTTTAGGCTTCGAACGAAAGGATCGGACGTCGATTCGACTACATTGTGCCCGTTGTTGTTGCGTATGTTTAGGGACACTTAGCAAAAGTACAACCAAAATACTCGATGGATTGGAAATAGGAGAAACGGCCGAGCAATATCTTGCCGAAGGAAATTACGTACACGCGTTGGAAAGGTTTCAGTCCTGTTTGGGGGTATTGGTACCGCTGTTAAAGAAGGAGCCAGCGGGTCGAAGGAGAGATTTGTTGTACAAACAGGTGATTAAATGATCTTGAGCAGATAACCATTTTTTTATAATCATTTTTCCTGTCGATGTCTTCATACCCGCGTTGACTCACCAATTGTTTTATTTTCTTACAAGGGTTCAACATTGCAATTTGATACAGCGTTTGAATATTTCTTTTAGCAAGTATTCTAGTAGGTATTCTGTTTAAATTATATATTTTGATATCGATTGATTTTATGAAGACGATTACAGAAAAGAGTCAACGAAAGCATCGATTACAAAAAGAAAAATTGGTAATTTCAAATTAAAATTCTTCCGCAGATGTGAAATGTCTTCTTTGAAACATAATTTTGTTTCTAACATAACTTTGAATCGTCATATTTTTGCTTGCGTTACATTTTTTATTTGCTCGATATATACATAGTTGTATTCGAATGCCATGAAATTTGCAAGATGCTGTTCTCGATTAAATAAGTAAAATGCTATTCTCGAAATAGGTCTCTTGCAGCGGTCTGTTCCTATTCTATTAAAGATGCAGTTTTAAGAATCTAGGCTAATAATTTTATCATCCAACTATAGAAACTGTAATGTCGATGTTACTTTAGTAAGACATATTGCTATAAACAACATGTTTTCTACTTCGAAATATTAATTAATATTAATAATATTAATTAATTTTGAGCATCGATTTCTGCTTTTTCATATTGTATTTGTCGTATTCGACAATTTCTTTGTTGGATGAAGGCAAGTGTAATTTGTATTGTTTTGCATTTCACAGGATTTTATCAGATAAATATGATTAACAGGATTTATCGAGGCTAATCAAATATTTCGAAAGTAGTAAGACTTTAAAATACACGGACATGACGTTGCGGGCGCATCACTTCCCAGCTATCCCTATGAATTTGTAATTGTTATATTTTGTCATGTTTTTGCATAGGTTCAGCTCTGGATGAAAGAAGCCGAAAGCACCAAAGGTCTGCTGGCAACAAGGGATATCGAAGAGCCTGTCCAGCGAGGTTCTGATTCATTCGAGCAATGCATAATACAGTAATTTTAAATAAAGGCTCAATCTTGTCAAAGTCATCATATTTTACGTATTATTTTACTAATTTATTGAAAACACGCACGTTTCAAATTTTGCAAAATTATTTAAAGAATTTCTCCTATGGACAATTTGTAAATATTTTAAGTCGTCGATTTTTAAATTAATTTCAAATATTTTCAGGCGAGAGGTATATTTATATAGTAAAAATGGCACCTCAAATAGAAATTTATATTTTTAACGAAGGATTTTAGTTACTCTTAAAATGTAATGAAAATTATAGATACAATCATGGGAAACCTGCCCGTATATGTCTCGCAAAAAAAATAGAAATTTTGATCGCCATAAAAAGATCACCGAAAACGCCGAACGCTTTTTTTTCTTGAAATACAATTTTTAAACGTATGGGCATGACTGCATAAAATCTAATAAATTGATCAAGAACATCTTACTGCATTCGATTCGTAAGTAGCTTTACTATCGTCTCTATAAGCATAATATGTGTACAGGGTGTTTCATCTGAAACGAATCATCGAATTGTCTTCAGAAGATGATTAGGTGTCCTGTTTGATTTGGGACACCATGTATATATAGAACGCACTTTATTTTCTATTCGCATTTTTGTTCACCGTTCTCTACAAATATGGATTAATCGTCATAATTTTGGTTTTTCCTGTACGATTAAAAATAAAATGTTAGCTATTGAAATTTTTTCAGAAACTTTTTTAACGTTTTAATCCACAAATAATTCAGTGATCGAATTCCATGCCCACCGTTTAAAATTTTAATTAAAAATTTGTTACTGTAACGAAAAATGTATTAATAAAAACCACGTGAACTTTTGACAACGTTTGTCCCTCTTTTAAAGGATTCACAAAAATGACCTATTTTTGAGTCTTTCGAGCGGAGGGTCTTCTTAATAAAAACACTGTCCTCATTAGCGCAGTTAGCGAATCCAACACGAACTATTTATAGTCTACATCGCGCGTTGATGTATATATATATATGTATATAAATTATTCACTTCACTATACGAATAAATAAACACTTTCGCATGAAATTTTTAAATATAAAAGATTTGCATTATTCTGTAAATTGAACTACCAAAATACCATAACATTTTTTTTGTATATTATAAGATGTGAATAAGTGTTCGAATGTTAAGTATTTGTTTACTCATTTTATTTGTGTTATATTTGACAAAATAAAGGACGATTTTTGAGAATTTTTATTATTTTCGTTTAATCCTCGTTTCACAAAATTTGTGAACAGTTATTTTCAAAATCTTAATTTACTATAACACCATTAATAACATTATTTTCGATTTTTACTCGAGCCCCTAAATATTAAAGTAATCAAATATTTGTAAAATCGATATTTCCGGTATCTCATAAATTTTTATTATATTAGAAAATATTTTAGACAAAATCTGTAGATCTAGACAGACTGCGTCCTTTATGTTCTATTACCGTTTTTCATACATCAAAACACGTCGCTTCGAACATGTTCGAAAAATATTCTCAATTTTGAAAACATTTTCGATTGTTGGTAAATAAAATATAAATGGTTTTTATTCTGTGCTCTTTTTGACCGAGTTGTAAAAACGCCATATTTATTCATATCTTGCGAGCAAATAAAATAATGGAATTAGTATGTTCCAATAGTATTCCGTTATACGTTGTATTATTAGCAAATTCTTGTAAATAAATAAATATAAATATCAGCTTCACGTACAATGTTCATGTAAAAGTCTGGGAAGTCTTTTCTCGCTACATACGTATAATAATTGAAATATACCGTTACTTTCAGTCGCGTTATCAGTATGTAAAATGAAATGTGAAACTATACCGTCATCGTTTTATTTAGTAAAATGTTTTTCATAAGCATATTAAGATCATGCAACACATATCTAGGTAACGAAAAAAGAACCAAAAGATTTCAAACATGTAATTGCATTTTGATTAATTAATACACACATATGATTTACTATGATTTACAAAGATTTGACATAATTATTAACCTCTATAAATACAGTTATTAAAACTTGTTCTTACAGTAAAATTAACAAAACAAAAAAGAAAAGGTATCTTTCTGTTGTTCCTTTCGAAATTTTTTTTTCTCAAGAAACTTAAGCCGTGTTTCCTCACAACTACATGTATTTACTCGGCATCGCCTGATTGCAAAGGACCTTTCAAGACCGCACCAAAAGCTGTCATTACTTTCCCCATTATCAATCTTGACTCCTCACAATCAATGTTACACACTTTCTTGCCTGAATCATACATTATTCGTTTTGTTATTTTCGACGGTCAACAAACAATCCACTTACCAAGGTTGTTTGTACGCAGTATTTTTGTTATGGCATACAACTATGTATACAATATGTATACGTATAGCGATCGGGGATAGTTCGACGCGACCTTGACGCCTCAAAAGAAAATACCATTGCAAAATCGATTTATAAATATAGACGTATTGAGCAAGAGCACAAGAAAACCGCGAAAAATGTTACGGTCTACTTACGGGGCGGCAGTGAAAAAACAGCAATTTTCGAAACGAAACCGAAGGATTTTATCCCAGTGGAGGAATTGGGACCTGGAACGGAAGGCGAGGGCGCGCGCGTCGTGGCGCGTCGCCCTTACAACTTCCGGTAAAGCCACGTGACCCAGCTAACGGTCGGTGTTGCCCTGAAGCGTCATGGAAAATTCCCATTCCCGAGCAACAACCCTCCCCCCCTTCACTATGTACATACCCCCTGCTCCCCCCCACCCTAGCCGAGTCCCCACTATGGCGTTGTCAGGTACTTGTATGACCCCCACTCCTCGACAAAATCTCCTTCCCCCACCACAAGCCATTGGTACCGGATGTGCGGCAACGTCGCAACCGTTAAGTACATAAGGACGGGTGGAAGGGGAGGGGGGGACGGTAGGGGGGTACAAGAAAGAACTGGCAACGTGTACCACATTCAAATCTGGACGGAACCCGGTCGGCCTCTCGGCTCACCTCTGCACTAAACAGCAGAAAACGCGGGTCGCGATAGAATCGCGTATAAATTTATAGCGGACCGGGCGACAAGCGTATTGCGCGACAAAATCAACGATCCTGCGGAACGTGCGCGCATCTATGGTGTCCGTTCATTGTCAAGCACAAGTTACCGAACCGAATCCGAAGTGCGGAGAAACACATTTCGCGGCGCCCTCGTGTGACGACCCTTTCGCTTTTCCCTCCCAGTAAGTAAATGTAAATTTCGCGCGCGCGCACCTAGTTCCATGTAAATGTCACGGGAACGTAGGGGTAGCGTGACCGTGTGGCGGAAGTGTTGTTTCGTGTCGTGGAATTATGTGTATGGACATTCAGGTTAACGAGAAGAAGAAGAAGATGAGCGACAAGAGTGTCGACGAGGACGTACAAATCGTCGAGGCCCGAATCAACAAAGGTAAGCTTTGAGGTTATGGGTGGCGGCAACCGCGGCGGCATCAGACTCGCGCGTATCGTTTCCCCCTCCTTCTCTCGCGTCTTGCTGCTCTCTCTCTCTCTCTCTCTCTCTCTCTCTCTCTCTCTCTCCGTCTCCCTTCATTCTACTCTCGTCTCGTATTCCTCTCTCGGTAGTTAGTTATTCCTATCCTTTTTCTTCCCCCATTCTGCATCTCACTCGATTTTCGACCACATCCAATCACGTTACTCTCTTGGTGTTGTGTATCAGTGCCCAGTCCCTCCAAGTACTCATCATGCTTTCTGTTTTCTGCGAGCTGCTGCGCCTCGTGCAGACCCGGCGAAACGTGGGTCCCCCACGATGCGACTACCTGTCAACGCCTGCGACATACTCGCGTTAAACCGCTTGCCGTTGTAACATTTACACACGTGGAGTTTCGAGAAACTCCTCTTTATCGTTCCGGACGAGATCGATGCACGTTTTTCATCGATTTCTCTAGTTTCAAGTGTTCGTACTCTAGTGCTATTGATATTTCGTTAATGATCCTTACGTTTGTAAACATTGCATCTCTCTCTCGTGGTACACGCACGTCCCTTGTGCTTTAAACAGGACAACAAGTTCTCATAGTTGAGTGAAATAATTGTCAGGGATTAATCGACGAAGCCTATCCCTCGTGCAAACAAATCTAACCTTACACATTCTCGGTGTATAAAATTATTTTTCATCGCTTCACTGTTCATTTCTGGCGATCCAGGGTGTTCAATTAAACAATACATGATAACATTATAAATGAATAAAGAAAGTTATGCGACGAAACATTTCCCTGGATGGTAGAAATCACGTGACTTACGCAGGGTGCATACGAAAATCAATCGAAAAATACAATCCCTCGTTGAATTGAAATTATGTTTCGACTGAAATGTATCAGTTTTAAAATAAGTGTCGGTTTCGTGATCATATTTATATGTATACGTTCGTTAAAAATCATTGTTTACGTACTGTCATATTTCCTGTGATTGTTTACAATGAGCAGTATCGATGTTGAATTTTCATCGAACAAAGAAGTCGGATCAATAAAAGGATGTTAATTCTCATTTCGTTTTACCCGCGTGTGCTTGCTGAAGATGTGACGTCACGGTTTATTTAAAGCAAACTGTAAGATGATCCTGGTAATATCGTAGATGTTTTTTAGAAAGAAGCTGTGTAACGAATACACTTATTAGAGAACTGTGTGGCTCTTACGAAGATAAAATATCGTACGAAGCTTGAAACGTACCAGTATTCGTTAACAATCTTTATGCAAACCGACTTGTTCACCTGTAGAAAAATATTTTATTTCGTGTAGAACGGAATCTGTTTGTCATTCATAATAGCAATGTATCATCGTGTATACAATAATTCCCAATTTCTGTCTTGAATTTTGGTACATTGAGGTTAAGTTGAATAATTTGTTTATTCTAATATTTCACGAACATGTGCCATCGAAATCGTTATAACGCTTTGCCATGCTACAGTGATTATGTTTAAAAACTAGTTTATGTATTGATTTGACGTCAATATTAACATACAATGTAGTCTACATGAGCGTAATATGTATATTTTTCGNTCCTTCTCTCGCGTCTTGCTGCTCTCTCTCTCTCTCTCTCTCTCTCTCTCTCTCTCTCTCTCCGTCTCCCTTCATTCTACTCTCGTCTCGTATTCCTCTCTCGGTAGTTAGTTATTCCTATCCTTTTTCTTCCCCCATTCTGCATCTCACTCGATTTTCGACCACATCCAATCACGTTACTCTCTTGGTGTTGTGTATCAGTGCCCAGTCCCTCCAAGTACTCATCATGCTTTCTGTTTTCTGCGAGCTGCTGCGCCTCGTGCAGACCCGGCGAAACGTGGGTCCCCCACGATGCGACTACCTGTCAACGCCTGCGACATACTCGCGTTAAACCGCTTGCCGTTGTAACATTTACACACGTGGAGTTTCGAGAAACTCCTCTTTATCGTTCCGGACGAGATCGATGCACGTTTTTCATCGATTTCTCTAGTTTCAAGTGTTCGTACTCTAGTGCTATTGATATTTCGTTAATGATCCTTACGTTTGTAAACATTGCATCTCTCTCTCGTGGTACACGCACGTCCCTTGTGCTTTAAACAGGACAACAAGTTCTCATAGTTGAGTGAAATAATTGTCAGGGATTAATCGACGAAGCCTATCCCTCGTGCAAACAAATCTAACCTTACACATTCTCGGTGTATAAAATTATTTTTCATCGCTTCACTGTTCATTTCTGGCGATCCAGGGTGTTCAATTAAACAATACATGATAACATTATAAATGAATAAAGAAAGTTATGCGACGAAACATTTCCCTGGATGGTAGAAATCACGTGACTTACGCAGGGTGCATACGAAAATCAATCGAAAAATACAATCCCTCGTTGAATTGAAATTATGTTTCGACTGAAATGTATCAGTTTTAAAATAAGTGTCGGTTTCGTGATCATATTTATATGTATACGTTCGTTAAAAATCATTGTTTACGTACTGTCATATTTCCTGTGATTGTTTACAATGAGCAGTATCGATGTTGAATTTTCATCGAACAAAGAAGTCGGATCAATAAAAGGATGTTAATTCTCATTTCGTTTTACCCGCGTGTGCTTGCTGAAGATGTGACGTCACGGTTTATTTAAAGCAAACTGTAAGATGATCCTGGTAATATCGTAGATGTTTTTTAGAAAGAAGCTGTGTAACGAATACACTTATTAGAGAACTGTGTGGCTCTTACGAAGATAAAATATCGTACGAAGCTTGAAACGTACCAGTATTCGTTAACAATCTTTATGCAAACCGACTTGTTCACCTGTAGAAAAATATTTTATTTCGTGTAGAACGGAATCTGTTTGTCATTCATAATAGCAATGTATCATCGTGTATACAATAATTCCCAATTTCTGTCTTGAATTTTGGTACATTGAGGTTAAGTTGAATAATTTGTTTATTCTAATATTTCACGAACATGTGCCATCGAAATCGTTATAACGCTTTGCCATGCTACAGTGATTATGTTTAAAAACTAGTTTATGTATTGATTTGACGTCAATATTAACATACAATGTAGTCTACATGAGCGTAATATGTATATTTTTCGATTGTTAAACGCGATGCTGTTGTTCAGCCAATTCAATATCATCCTGCCTTTCAACTATTTCCATGTTGCGGTTAGAATCTAATTTGTTGAAAAGAGAGTTCCTCTTGTGTCTCTATGTACACGTAGTAAACAACGCAAGCAAGTGGGACTGCCAACATCAATGCATCATTCCACTATCGATAGGTGAAGAAGTACTTAATTGGTACACGGTAAAGGTCGAAGAACATCAAAAGCGTATCGAGCATTGACATTGAGAGAGACGGGGGATAGTATGGCAGCTGTCTTTGCATTTATGACCAAACAAAATGGTATTATCTTCACTTTATATGCAAAGTAATATTATAAACATTTTGGTATCACGTGTGTAATGTTTATCGAAACGATAATAATTGTTGATGCCGACTATTGTGACGAAAATTGTCATTTTAAAATATACAAACTGGTGTATCAAATCTTCCCTATATATATACATGTATATATTCAAATTTAACAATGCATAATTCTATCTAAAGTCTGACGGTGTGGTAGCTTTTCTTAACATCTTTTATATATTTTTTTATCGTGTTCGCAAATTACTACAACAAAGGACTTCTGTTGTCTACAAAATATCTTTTATTCATGCGAAACATGTCCATTACACATATGAAAGTTATCGGGAAGTGGTATTAACAATATTTGAACACTTGAGAATAATAGGTCTGTGGCAATTTTCATGTGAAATGAAAATATCAAAACTTGTGATTGCAGATAGTAACAGTAAAGTTTGAGCTAGAAGTACGTATTTCAGATTCTTGGGTCCGTTCTAGTTGTTCAGATCTCTATGCCTCGTGTAACACGGATCGCAGTTCGCTTCTCCAACCGTCCGCCCGCCCGTTTGCTCCGCCATCACATATATGCAAAGGCAACTATATATACTGTATATAGGAGAGCGAGAGCCGGGGGAGATATGTATGTGCTGGCGCAGTATATAATGTACCCGCTCCCTATGTACTACATAAGAACCGAAGAATGATGTAACAAAGAGGCAGTTTCACGAAGTTTGCCGAGCACTCCCGAGGCGACGGCTTCGTGCAAGTCGCATGCGTGCTTGTGTACGCATGGAGGCGCACACAATGAGACTTGTCAGCTGCTGCGAGTGTACGCCGCCATGTGCAATTCTACGGAGTTGCGCAAAAAATTACGTCTACAAAAATGATAGAGCATGCTTGGGACGACCCTTTTCCATCATAGCAATCGAACGTTCACCTCTTCTTTCGTACAACTTTATTCTTTCTCCCGCCATGAAATAAGCAAGGCCGGTGGTAACCTTCGCGTCGTCTGTCTTATCATGATGGAAGGTAGCATGTTTCATTTATACATGCTTAGATGTACAATATTTCGCCATATTACGTAACGTTCGTTCGTTCGCTCGAAGGATTTCATAATTCAATAAGACATTGTATGGAACTTATATCGTTATTAAAACGAAAAAAAAGGGGGATTGATAGCGAAGGAACAGGAAACATTGGTGAGATAGGGAAAGGCAACGTAGTTATGGCAAAGAGAATGGCTAGATTGGAAGAGGGCACATCCGGTTCACCGCCATATTGTTCTTTAGTAATCTCTCCCCCCTCCATTTCCAACTGCTTCCCCTCCCGCGTATTTACCGTGCCTTCACTCGGCATAGCAACAGCGGCAATAGAGGACTCCTATAAATAGATCGCTATAACCTTCCAGTGTTGCCAAAACGACTGGCCCAACGCGAGGCGTAGAAGAAATCGAGCCAATCAAGGCCGCGTCCTCCATTTTCAGATGGCAACGTCGCATCATGATAATTTCTGACGAATTAGCACAAATTTCATACTTTCTTCGTATATAATTTGCCTTCCGTGTACGTATCTTTGAATTCGAATAGTTTTCAGCAAGCACATCTCCACTCGAAGAAGCATATAATATATGTGTTTACATTTCTCGCGGAATTTATATCGCTTTATATATGATAATGATAAGCTCATTTGGCATGCTTTTTTTATTGCATGCCTCTTTCAGGTATCGATCATGCGACGTTGCTTTTCTCCGCATACATCTTCTATGCATTCGTATATATTACTGAAAAGTGAAAAAAGAAACGAAGTGGGCGTGCCTGCGGCGAGAATCGGCAACGCCGCGGCCGTAAATCATGATTAAAATAATAAGTATAATACATATGTAGTACATAGGAGGCCGGCGGGTATATGTATGTAAGAGCTGCGCAGATGCACAAATAGCAATGTTCGTCTGGCTGGGTTCTGCGCAGCTTCGGTTCCCCCACTTTCGTTATTCGTCCCCCACTATCACGCAGAATCCCACGGGTAAGTTCCAGGAGTGGCAGTGGGGGGTAAAACGCGGGTGTTAGAGGAGAGAAGGGCACCTGAAACCACGACTATATACCCCCGCGTGCGTTTACCAATCTTGGCACTTTGCCTGAAAGAGCATATCGACCGTGCGACGTTGTCACATCGTCTGCGCGATCTTACGCGCTGGCCCTGGCCACTCTTTGAACGGTATGTACCTAGCTGCTGCAGCCGATCCCTGACACACGATGCGAAATCCGATCAACGATATATGGTTCACCTATTTATATGATTCGGTAAGGTGCCTCGTGCAAAAGATGATATGCCTATACCGAAATGCAGGAACCATAGAAGGCATACAATGTAGGAGAAATGATCATTGAAATTACAAAACAGTATCATATTTTTAAAAGATACGTTATATTGAAGTCGATTTTTATGACTCCCTATGTACGTAAAAAATTTACGTAAAAAAAAGAAATGGAAGTAATCATATTCTGTACATACACATTTTTTGCGTCGCTCCTAGTGAACAAATCGAAATATGATTCTACAACGTAATGTAATACAGACGTAAAGCGCTCGATGGTTATGTTTTAATATAATTTTTTTTATGGCTGTTGAACGTAGGTGACACTACTTAGTAAATGAGACTCTGTTTATAAGTATATGGTGCACGCAGGAACGCTATTCGGCATGTTTCGAAAACGCAGTGCTTCGAGTAAATACAATATATACACGAGTTATGTACTATAAGGGGGGGTTTGCCACCCGTTTCTGCTCCGCTCTTCCCTACAGTTCTTATTCGTTGTCGACAATGTGCGTACAGTCAGCATCAAATCGTTGCGGAAACACGATTCGCCGTGTAAATTTTTTAATTCGTACACTGTCTTCTGTCTAGATATATTATCGGCGGGTTAACTTCAGTAAATGTGTACATATTTTTCGTTCGTATAATAACAAAGTGCGAGAAAAGTTTCATTGCTAGGGAGTTGATCGTCGGTCACATGGCACAGGACAGACATGCGTATTAACCAAGGACATAAAGATTTTCCAATTTTTTCTCATTTTCATCGGCACTTGTGTCTTCGATTATTATAAGTCAACGCAGTCGATAGTGTGTGTGTGCGTTAATATGTGATGACATTCTAATATCTTAGTGTTAGTGTACTGAATGTTATATATATATACACACGTGTAAACACAACAGGAGAACTTAATTGAATAATTAGTTTGGATATCTTATTAACTTTATGCTGCGAAATTGTGAGAGAACACCCTTCTCTTGTCACTGTTCGGCATCGACTAAAGTACTGCCGCCACGCAACGCTCTTTATATACCACTGTGTATCGAACATCAAAGTTCGCGACTATATCGTTATTAGGATAAAGAGAATCGCTCCATATTCTATATCTCTTTTATTTCTGAAGACTCTGTGAACTATCTTTCACGTTGAATTATCCATTCCCTCGTCACTTGAACGAATCTAGACGTCGAAACACATGTTATTAGTTGTTGTCAAATCTCACGTATGAGTTGATTTGCGTTTACTTAACGCAAATTGCTCGTACCATGGCATTACACTCCCTTTATACGAAGAAACAAGACTCTATATAATTAATAATATTAGTCGAGGCAGATAGATGGCGACAGCTATCGGGTAGCTTCTCAGCCCCTTTTTATCCCGAACAATAACGATATTTCTAGATAATGCTTATTTAACTGTACGACAATGAAATGAGAAAGTATTACAAATTTTTCAAGCATCGAATCTGTAATTTCGTCTATAAAGACCTGATCTTAACATTTCAGCCATCGGTAGTAATGAAAACAGTAACGCGCGCACAGAATCAATGCTTCTAAATGGAGAAAAGTGTCCCGTATACATCACACGCACAGTGCATTTTTTAAACTACATACAAAATACTGAGTGACTTGCTGTTCCGTACTACTTAATTATATACAATGTACATTGGAGTGAACGCGTCAAGATTACTCGCGAAAACCGAGCCCGATATGGAATCGAAATCTAGACATTCGAGGGGACAATTTTTCAAAAGTATCCAATGTATGTACGTATTAGAAACGTCAGATGGATTCCTAAAAATGGAAAGTTAAAGCGGAGCGGAGCGTGTGCGCGCGGAGGGACGATACTGGCACATACCTAGCGGTACAGTCCGAGCTGAAAACTGAGCGTACCGCTCTGGTCCGTAGGATTCGCGGTCGGCTAGACCACGGAATGCCTAGTGTCCCGTGCAGCTGCAGCCAGACAGCTCGATGCTACGGCATGGCCTACTGGGCGGCCTGGAATCGAAGATTTACAGACGCCAAGTTCGCGTAAAATGGCGCTACCCTCGACCGAGAGCACCTTAATCGACGGCAAAGCTTCGCCGGGGTCCAGAGATACGCCTGATCAAAGAACATGTACGTAGTCAGTGTCAACGGGTACCGCCGTCTACGTATGTTTATCTACCCTCGATGTATCCCTCGAGAGCCGAGTGTGGTGAACTGTTTCACGCCACCTGCTATAATTGTAGTCACAGCGGACAAAGTGAAACGTCGAGGGAAAGCGTGAAAACTAGAGGCCGAGAGAGTCGAAACAGGACGAACTTTTCCTCCATCTGAGCCTGGTTCTTCTCCTCGTCGTGTAACATGGTCGTGTGTCGTCTCGTCGACAGTGCACATCGGTAGAGAGAGAGACGCACTCGCGTATAACCTCTTTGCTGGTTCGCGTCCACCGAAATGTGATTTCCGTTTAAGTAAGACAACACGCAAACACCATCGAAGATGAGGAACGACATTACGGACATGCATACTGCGACCGCTGATAGCAGCACGGACGCCATATGGCTCGAGAAAAGGAGTCCGTCACAGACGGCGCCCGATCAAGTGTCATTCAGTACGTCCCAAATACATCTTTCCGAATCAAGGGAGGACGTTGTGCTTCGCAGAACTAGTATATAGAATCTGTTAATCATCTCTTTTACAGTACACTCCTGTCTGTCTTATATTGATTTCTTCTTTTCGTTCAAAATCGATGCTGGTAGAAAAGAGCGCGAGGATGTGCTTCTTTTTTCTTTTTTTTCTCTCCTCCGTTCGGTTCATGAATAGAAACGAGAGACGCACTGTGAAACTTTATATGTCGTATTTTACAGTGGCAATCGGTAGTTAGCATATCGGAATTGTTTGTTTAAAATGGGATCGTGAAGATTGATTAAGGAACGTGCGCATTTACGTGTTTTGTTAAATCGACAGTGTGTCTTACACGTCGAATTCAAATTCCATTTTGTCAGCTTTGTGATAATTGATCGTTTGTCGATTCGATTTCGTTCCGTCGTTTCAGAGGACAGCTCATTCTTAAGCTTGTGTACGTGAGAATGAAAAATAACAATAATCATTATCAGTTCAAATTAAATGTATCGATTTTTGTAATGCATTGCAAATTGCATATTCCGCGTTACTTTTGTACAATTGTACTTGATATATCAAGTGGACGTAATTATATATGTCCACCGTAATTAATCTAACCATATATCCGTCATTTAAATGTTACTTTTTGAAAGTTATGTAACTTGTAATTAAACAACGAAGGAATCGTTACGGTCTTCATTTTATTATCTGATTTATTTTCGTGTAAACGGCACCTCTGACATGCGCACTGTTACGTACACGTGTGTATTACACCGTCGAAAAATCTTTCGCACTGTGAAAGTCTGTTTATAAACACTTTATAAATCCGAGTTGCACTAAATAATGTTTAAGATGATAAGGGTTATCACTTTTGTACAGTGCATGTACGGCACGATGATAAAAGAGTTAATTTGCCGTGTACGTTAACGATTACACATCACAATCATGCATTGACACGCGAATTACAGTTTTCCCGCGCTCTTCTCCATCGACCAATATCTATAACCATTTTAGATAATAATTCAGAATCATTTCGTAACGATGAAATCTTTCATTGATTTGTTATAAAAAGCGATTTTTTTTTCTCGTTACTATTTATATCAGTTACATTTCTATTGACTATTTGCTTCTATCAGATTATAATATTTTATAATGATAATTATATATATATATATATATATATATATATATATAATTATAATGATAAATTATAATGATAAATTATAATGATTTTTTCAAAATGTAACTCACGAGAATACAACATTAATATGCTGACCATTTTTTTTATCATTAAGTCAGTAAGTTCTTAGTAATGTAATTGTTACGTTTATAAAGTATAGAATAGTTTGTTATAAAGATTAAAATTCTTTCGTTAACATCTGACGATCGATTCTATCTTACAGATACATCCTTCGAAATAAATCAGCCGTTGCAAATACTATACATTGTTTCTTCCGAATAGGTTGAACGTATTAAATCGACAACTCTTGGAAGATCGAATTTAATCGACATACTTTCGCTTATTTGTTTCAGATTTTGATAAAGTTGTCGTTAAACAAGAACACCCCGATGAAGCGGAAATCCGAGAATTGGCTGCCAAAATGGTGGAAGCAAACAAGGCGAAAATGGTGAACGTGCCAGGGGCACAACAACAACAACAACAGCAACAACAACGGCCTGGAGCACAGACTTTTCTAACGAATTTTCCAAGAATCTTAAGATTTTTTGATAAAAGGCCGGCCGATTCATCAACCGGTATCGCGACGAAACCCCTTCCGGCCGAAGGAAAAGTACCGCCCGATGATGAGAGTCAAAGAGGCAGATTCGGATGGACGAGTTTCGATGATTGTCATATACCATATATATTTCGCTCCGGCGAGAAATACTGTGCAGTACGAATCTTAGAATCTAAGTTACTGAACAAGTACCTGAGCTACCTACACTCGGACATCTACAGCTGCACGTGTATTAGGAGTTATTACATCACGGAAGCTGAGAGCAAACTGTTTACTGAGATCAATGTGAAACATTGTGAGAATCAATTCGGTAGAGAACAATTCACTTGTAAGGACTTAGTGGTACGTCTTTCGGACGCCAGGGAATTCTACACTTTCTTGGACGTGTGCTACACGAAATTGACGGCAGGTACGAATCCGAATGTATCTAGCAACCACAAAGCGGACAAGTGCGGTTTCATCCGAATAAATAAGGAATCCGTTGTTCCTTATACTGTGAAAGATGGCCTTCAATATGTTCCCTTGTTTTATTTCGAGGGGGAGACTGAGAATCTAAAGCTGAAAGCAGAAAAACTCGAAGGGTGGGACTTATCATATTTGAAGTTTTGTTGCAAAGTACAGGGTATACGCAATGAACTGTTTGCGAGTGAGACATGCTCAGTGATTAGTTTGAATGACATTAAAAGTTATTTCCCTCCTGGCACTGGTTTCGAGGACTATTGGCCAACCAAAGTTATGGACTCTCAGTTGTTAGTGAATAGCAAAGGTGGTGGTGGCGGTGGTGGCTGGACAAAACAACCTCCAACACCACCAGCGACAAAGCCTGTTTCTGTGCAAAATAATGTGAACAAACCAGCAATCGACGCACGTGCAACTCCTATGCATAATATGTTACCATGTGGATCGGTTGCCAATGCGTCTCAAGTACAACGTAGTGTGAGCCAACCGAGGCCTGTTGCAACTACACATCCTGCACATTCTTCGCCAACAGTGCTTCCTTCTGGAAGATCGAACATTGTAACACAACCTATGTTGAATACAGTGCAAAATGTTAACGGATGGACTGGACTTGTCGGTGGGCAACCTACTTTCCAAACGGCACTTGTTTCTCAAGCAAATTCCATTATACGAATGCCGTCATCCTTAAACATGCACAATGTGAGTTTCCTTCAAAATTTTCATTCTTTTTATGGCTTTGTATTAATTTGTGGTTCTAAAAAGTTATGTTGTATTTGAAATGAGGATAAGATAGAAGAAAGATATATATGATGCCAATTTTTGAAGATTTTTTTAATCTTGAGGTTTAACTCAAGTTTGTCAAAGCCAACCTCGACATGCTAAAAGAAACTGAAATGATACAAGTATTATCTGTTATTCAGTGGAAGAAGGCCTGATGTGCATTATCAGTTGTAATAGTTGTTGATTCCAGCACAATCAATTCAGAGATAACTATTGCAATTGCTGGTGTATCTCTGGTTTCGTTATATGAGCTATATTTTTTTTTATTTTATTAAAAGAATTTGCAATAAATTCCAATTTTGCATGGAGATTTGCAGTTCGATCATCAGTATTCAAAATGTGAATAGAAAACTAGAATAGCTATTACATTACATTGCAATTATATAAGTTTAAATATACATTTGTTTTATTGAATTATTATAGTAAATATCTAGATTTATTATATTTAATTTTTTAATATACATAAATATGAACTTTATGTTGCAGCAAATACCTGCGCAACCAAAAACTTATTCACAACAATCAAGTAGGAGTAGAGGGGGTGGTGGCAGTGCAGCAGCTCAGTACCCTGGAGTATACCCAGTTACAACTATGCCGACTGTTGCTCAGGCCCAACCACCCCCTCTTGTAAGAGCAACAGTCCATTCCAGTCAACCCAATCTTGGGTAAGTAATGAATTATATTTTTGAAAATTTATATCTCTTAATATGTTTTTTTTTAAATAAATAAAGCTTTGAGATATTCAGGACAATTTTGTTGTTTCACATTTAGCATCTACTCTCGTCTTACATAGCATTACCGATACTTTATGCTTGCTTTCAATTTAGTGATTGAATACAGTAATATTGTATTCTAGGTGTGAGTTTAATGTTAAGCAGCACGCAGTGAAATATATTGTTAAAACTTGTTCATACTTGATATTGTTCACATCTAGTTACTATTAATTTTTTTGATTAAACATTACTCAAAATACATTGCATATAAGATACGATATATCATTCATTAAACAAATAGATATATTGTTTAACATTAAAATTTTTTATTGTGTTAATTATAAAAACTTTATTTAAAAATAGACACTGTTAATACAATATTAGAGTAAGATGAGCATGCAGTATAAAATTTTAGGGTTCTTTTATTAGAACATACACAGAGTTTGTCTTTGTAAAATTTTATTCTTTATTATGTGGTGAACCTGCACTATAGCTTTTTGCATTTGTACATACAACATATGATTTTTTTGTATAGTTATCCAACCTATGGGAAGGATGACTGGTGAGTCCCTGTAAAATGTACTATAGTCATGATTACTACATAAAAGTAAGATAGCATGCACAAGAATACTATGATTAACAATCTTTTTATTTCTGCAAAACGCAATAACTACATATTGCCTGTATTGCCTCATTAAACTTTACTTATGTATTCACTCTATGTTAATGTTTTCATTCCTTTAATTCACTAAACATATATATTCCCTTTGGGA